TTCGATAATATACTGAACATGTTGCAAAGGATTATTTCACCTTTCAGATAAAAGCTTGTTATCCCTACAGCAGATTCTTAATTTAGAATTCTCAACTTTGATTATTAAATGAATGTCCTCGTCGTGGCAGGAATCGTTTGAAGAAACCCTTCTCCCACTCTATTTTGTCTAGCACTGCAAAAGTATTTAATTAGATGGTTAAGAGTATGGATGATTTGAGGCTTTCATTCCTCCCATGCAGCTAGAGCTGACAGGGCACAAACCCTCTCTCTCTTTCAAATGCCTCACTTCTTCATCACTCTGTCAGTGGAACAAGAGAGTCCCTGCTGCTTTCACTGCAGGGCAGGGCGCACCAAAGGCCGTGAGAGTTCCCAGACTTGCACTGGTTTCATCTCATATCATAACGATCTGCATCGGCATGAGCCTACACCTGATCCTAGCCTTGCAACGAGGACGCCAACGTTAATATTTGCATCTGTTTTCATTAAGCAGTTTGAATATAATACTGTACGTGCTGACATATCTGACACCTGCAATAAAGGCTTGAGAAGCAATTAATCATTCCTAAATTAAATCTTATTAGCCACACTTTCTAAGTTAATCTATACTGGCTGGCGCAGTCTCTATCAGGCTATTAGAAAGGTGGATGGAAGGAGAGAAAGGAATGGAAAAAATCAGATGTTCTGTAACTGTGATAAATACTATTTGTTAAAACATTCTTGATAAAGATGGAAAACAATGTACATAAGATCACTTTATCACTTTATTGGCCATATACAACTTTTTGCATTAGGAATTTGTCTTTTCGCATAGCCCAGCTTGCTCTCCATGAGACACACAGACAGGGAGAGAAGCTTGGGGTCAGAGCGCGGGGTCAGCCATTTATACAGAGCAGTTGGGGTTAAGGGCCTTGCTCAGGGCCCCAACAGAGTAGGAATGCCTCTGCAGGCCGCGTGATTTGAACCGGCAACCTTTCAGCCACAGGCGCAGATGTAAAACGATGTCAGAAATCAATGAATAAATAGAGTCCTATGTATCCATTTTCTATCCTCTTTATCCAAATACAGGGTTGCAGGGGAGCCAGAGCCTATTCTAACAAGCAATGGGTGCAAGACAGGATACACCCTGGACAGGACACTACTCCATCACAGGGCAAATAAGCAGAGCTAAAATACTGAATTAATGGTGAGGAAATTAAGCTTGGATATATGGAAATGCTCATAAATGCTGTACAAAGCTTGTAGTTTGTACAAGATGTACCAACCACGTATCTTACATATCAACAATAAGCAGAGGTCCATCCATCTATTGTCCAACCTCTTCATCCAATATAGGTTCACGGGTGACCATTCATAACCAGTCAATGAAATACTGCTCTGCAATTGCTTGCTCCTTGCATGACAGCCAGGTGGTTCCATAAATAGACATTCTGGGAGCAAACTCAACTCAACTTTTCCATGTTGCTAAGGACAATTTGCTGCCATCCTTTATGAAATATTTGGAAGAGATCTTCAAAATAATAAGCTACTAGAAACCACATAAGACAGATGATAAACTAGACTTCTCTAATATGATTATTCTTTACTTATGAGAAATAGTCAAAGCTTTTTGGGAGGAGAGGCTGTATGTATCTTAGCAGTCTCATACATTGCCTGTGATGTTCTGAATCCAATCCCTCTTTTCACAGCTAGTCAAGGGGCCCTCACATTCTTTTACCTTAGAAAAAAGGGTTTATCTTCATTCTACTGTAAAATACATTGATGTGTTTGGAATGCTAAAAATGGGGCCGAAGGGAAACTGGAACACTGAGGCGATGAGATGAGCTGTAGGTTTAGGTGTTTACCCCAGTGAGCAGCTATGTCTCATCACACAACATCAGCCACAGTATACCATCTGACAGCATCTTTACAAATGCTGTGCACCGTGATAGCTTCTACAGTATATACTTTTATTTATTTATAAATGCATTATCAGCCACAAAGACATCAAGACAAAATCAATTTTCAAAAACTCTATTTCTGTAATAAAAAGTTTCCAAAGAAATGTCACCCAAGCCTAGTTGTGCTCCTAAACATGAAAGAGTATTCACATCTTCTCAGTCTCTGTATAGCGCCTCCGAATACAGTCACCCTATTGAAAACCTCCAGCCACCAGGCTCTTGAGAGTACAGGCTTACCTTTGCCACTATGTGATCTGCTGTTATAATGGGGAACTCAGTGTATCTAAGCTGTCAAAAAACAGATATACAACATCTCTCCTTTACCATCTCGGAGTAGGGGGAACTGTACTGAGACAGAACATGCATATTTCTAAATCCACCCTCAGGGAGCAGAAAGTACAAAGTCAGGTTTCATTAAGAATTTATAACTCTATAGAAAGTTCACACATTATGTCATGTATTTCTAATGTCTGAGAGAAGCATCATCCAACATAGGGGCTGTATACTTCCCTGTAGTGAGAGAGTACTGCACTGATGAACAGTTGTGCAGATTGCTTAAAAATCCTGAGGCAACTGTGGAGTTGTAGCCATCATCTCACTGGAGGCGTTAGGAAATCCAGGTAAGAGTATGGCCCTATTGTAGTGGAGCCTCTTTTACTGACAATGGATATTTTGCATTTCAATTAGTCTCCATAACAGTTTTTTTATGATCTGTATATTGATGATCCCTGTTGCAGTGGCCAATGGGGTTTGTACAGAACCACATTTGATTGAAATCTTGAGAGCCCTGCTTCCTGACAGCATCCTCAAGGCCTTGTATACTTGGGTAAGGATATAAACACACAATACAGCAACATTTGCCCTTCCTACTTTATTCGCTTTGTGCGGTGCTGGTGGAACTGCCTGTGCTCAAAAGAGGTGACACACGTCTGATTAGACAAGTGTCACTGAAAGACGGCATGAACCTTTAATGAAAAGTGTCATGTCAGGCATCACTCCAGAAGTGAAAAACCTTCTGCCCTTTATTCATTCCTGAGTACGCAATGCTCTCGTGCTTGACTTGAGAAGCCCAGGCAGCTGCTCTTAATGAATCGTTACTGTACAATTTCCTTTTGCACGTCTAACCAACAAGATGTATTTTGCTTGGTTAAGAGAAAACTGTTTTGTTTGTGTGTGTGTGTGCGCGTGTGTGTCTCTGATGGAATTGTCAATAGGAAAGATAGGAATGACTGGACTATTGTGGTGAAATGAAAAATCATTAGAAATTCCAAAGGTAACAGATGAGGAGGGCATCTGGTCTATCTAAACCCATTTGGTAGTTAGTAGCAGAGTGATCCAAAGATCACGTCCAGTCATTTCTTAAAGAAACAACCGGATTTGGCAGCCAACCGAGGTATTGACTTCAACCACCCGGCTAAGTAGCTTGTTCAATATTCTCACAAAACTTTGAGGAAATAAATGCTTTCTGTTTCTCAATTTTAAATGCACTTCCAAATTGCCTGTGCTTGTGTCCCCTTGATTTCTGTTTTCCGGATCATTCCTAAAAAAGGTCTTATATCAGATCTTCTCTAATCTTCAGTGTTCAAGAGTAAAAATGCTACATCTGTACACGATATACAAATTCTGGACTTACTAGTGTGTGATGTAATTTTAGGTAACATCCCTTGATATAAATTCTACGCGTTTAACTAGATATTCTAACATTTTTCCTTAATTGCTTCTGCATATAGTCTAGAAGATGTACAGTAAATGATGCATCAATATACAGTAAACACCTATGTTTTTCATTAGTAGTCTCTTCTAGCTTAGTGTTTCCCACTTTGTATCTATAGCTTACGTTTTAAAGAACTGCATGCAAAGTCCTGCTCAGCTACGTTAAACATCATATTCCAGATGTTTGCCCAAGCATTTTGATTAATATTTTTGGTTTGCATAAATATATTAAAAGGGCCTTTTTTATAAGGCGTGCAACCCAAAGTATTATACTGGGAAGTGGTATTTAGACATAAGTTTCAGGAAAAAATAGTGAGAAATAGTGAGAATTTTGCCACTGCTCTGCTGTTGAACCACTCTAATGAGGATTGTTTCACCTATAATATGCATTAATTTCCACATTAATGCTATGAGAAATATTGATCAGTTAGTGCTATAACTTATCAGTTAACATGCAGGGAGCCTGGAGATCTGAAATCACCAAGGTTAAAAGCTTTTTCTTGTGCCCAGAGGATGTATCAAATGCACATTACAGATGTAATATCTCAGATGTCCTTATAAAACTGTCTAATATGTTTTTAGTACATATAGATGATGTTATCATCAATGTTTAAAACTGTTCTCCTGCAGATCAGGTTTTAAATGGAAGAATCTGTATCAAAAGATGCAAGGGATGAAAAATTTATGGAAATCTGACACTAAGTAAAAGATTGTACACACCATCAGCATTATAGATCTACGATTGTTTCCTCCAGCATTTTCAAACACTATTAATTCCAATAAAAACTATTATGCATGTCCTGTTTTTAAAGAAAATACATTCATTATCTCCTGATAAGGACCTGTGCACAAAGGTGACTCCTTGAACTAATGTCCAGAATTGAAATACTGGTGTTTGGCCAGAATACTAAAAAGCCAAACAAAAGTCAAAATGACATCAGTAAACCTAGAAAGAAATAAAAGTAATTGCTTACAACATTTTAAGCATGTGACAGATGTTTGATTAGGGCAAACATACAGCCAGCTTCAACTTTTAAATAAATGACAAACGGGAGCAAATACAGTATGTTCCCTCCTTAATTCTCATCAAAATGCTCTCCTGGAAGTCACTCCAAGTGTAAACATACTACAGCATTGCCACAAAATTCCCCTATGTGAGTGGGGTGTGTTGGTGCATTTCAGTGCGGGAGGTGGAGAGGGAAAAGCAGTTTTCTGCCTATTTCAGTCTAGAGCAAGAAACGACAAGCTTTTTCCAAAGCATCCAGTGGTCAAAGTCTCCCTGCCTCACACACTCTTCCATATTTAAGTCCTGGACAATGAATCCACACAATTGCCTTATCCTACTTACCTGGGATCTGCCTCAGACGTCGTGTAGCCACTTTCAAATGTTTTGTTCTTCCCAGGTCTTCTCCCAGTAGATAGTACCAACCACCGATTTCCTGAGACATTCAGATCATAACAAAAAAAAAAGAAAGAAAAAACCTCAGTTCTCTTTTGTCATTTAAGCTGACCCCCCGCCCCAGCTCTGCGCCGTTTGCCAGAAATCAGAAGTGGTGTGCGACTTGGTTGAAGGTCTGAGACTAGAAGAGAGAGAGGGGAGACCCCCTCACACAAACTCCGCTGGCTTGCACGTTATTTAACTGGAGATTTTCACTCACAGATTGAGTCGTCTGGGAATAAGCGCAAGTTCAGTGTTTTCCTGCAGCTGATGCATCTGGTGCAGCCCCAGAAGCCAGATGGCTGTTTGTTATATAAAGAGAAGCCCGGGATGTCAAGCAGGTTTCCATTTTAATCCAGATAAAATGCTTATAGCCCGTATAAGCATGATGACAAATGTAGCAGAAACAATTACCCCGTCCCTCATGACTGTCAGCCTTCCAGTGAAAAGGAAAACTGTAATGATTAAAGGTTATTATAAATGATTAATTAAAAAGAAATTTCTCTTGCACTTTTTTTTGGGGGGAATCCTTTAGTCTGAAACCCTTTAACTGAAATGACAGGACACCACGGAGCACAGAATAATCGTTCATAAAAGCACTTTAACAGATTTTTGTCAGTTGTGAGACACAGAGAAAAGCACACTGGAACAGCTCTATCGTCCTCATTTAAAATGATGTTAGATTATCAGAATGTCTTCAGCATGTCTGGTAGAAGGTGAAAGACACTGATACAACATAAATAATTCTGAACAAGTGGAACTCTTCCGAACTAGGACCACCTCCATTGTTTAAAGCCCAATATATCATTAGCAAAATCAAACCAATTAAGAAAAGACAAATAAATGCAGGCACTTCATTACTGTTAAAGCCCTGAAAGACTAAAGGCAGGGGAATAGGGGACTTATAAATGTCACTGTTAAGTTAAGTTGATTGACAAATGTCCTCAGGAAGGATTAGTCAATGTGCACACAACCTGACAACAAGCACCAAATGTTAACCTTTAAAAGACATAACCTAGATAATTAGCAAAGCACACTGTACTGAGAAGAAAAAACAACAACTGTATCATGTTCAATGACTGTATTAGAAAAGATGCACAGCTTTAAATGTGAATGTTTAAATGTGACACACGTAGCTTTAAATGTGAATTCTTTAATATGGGAATGAACAGTATTAAGGCACACTGGTGTTTATCCTCCTTGTTTCTTTCGACCAGTTTCAAAAGGAAATATGCTTTAGGGTTAACTTGAATTCCATTCAACCAAAACCGATTGCCTAGGGCTCATTTTGCAGAGAAGACTGCTCTTGCCAAACAATGATGCATTTTCTTATACAATAACACAAAGACAGAAGACAAAGCAGCACAGTATTAAAATCACAATAATTAAAAAATGAGGTCTAAATTACTTGAGTTATATAGATGGAAGACCATACACTTTCTCTGCCATGAATCATACTAGCATAGCAAGACAGCTTTCTCTTATACAGATCACATATTGCATTCTGTGATCTTCAGAAGGATAGTTGAAGATGGTTAAAGATGTTCTTTTTTATAATCAGAGCATAATTTGATTCCACTCTATAGTGTCTTCACAGATATATTTTTCAATTCCCTAAAATGTCCTTCCTACCAAATACTGTATATATACAGCAGCATTTACACTGCATCATGATTAATACACGAAGATCTTTTTTTTTTTTATTCCAGACTTTTCCCATCCTCTGGCCTTGAAATGAAAGATCTGGTAAGGTGGCTGAGATAGTAATAGGCAAACTACTGGAAGTTTTAAAACTGCTGCATGGAAGAAACATCAGCTTGAAAGAAAACAGTATCAGACCTTTCCACTGTAGGATTCCACCTATCAAATGGGCCATATTGCTTAGAATGAAAAAGAATCCTTTCTGCTGTAAATGCAATACAGTCCTATCTCCCAGAGAATGTGCAGCCTTGTCCAGATACTGTATCAGCAAGTTGTCATCTGTGATTATTATATGAGATTGTGAATTTATTTTATACTATAAGCAAGATAAGTGGCAGGAGGCTATTCTACTCCACCTTGTTTGAAGATCTCAACTAACTGTATCTTGATGGACATCAAGCTTTCTGGATACTCCACTCAAAGCGCTTTACAGGTAATGGAGACTCGCCTCCATCACCACCAGTGTGCAGCCCCACCTGGATGATGCGACGGCCGCTATAGTGCGCCAGAACGCTCACCACACATCAGCTATCAGTGTAGAAAGAGCAGAGTAATGAAGCCAATTCATAGATGGGGATTATTAGGAGGCCATGATTGGTAAAGGCCAGGGGGAAATTTGGCCAAGATGCCGGGGTCACACCCCTACTCTTAACGAGAAAAACCATGGGATTTTTAATGACCACAGAGAGTCAGGACCTCGGTTTTATGTCTGCACTTAGCATGGCTAAGTGGCTTGTTCTTGACTCCCACTAACCTTCGTGTAAACATTCCCTTCTGTTCTCAGTTTTCCTTTTTTTTCTCCCCATGTGCATCCTCTGGACAACCATTCAAAAGCTTTCAAAATCCACAGGCTTCAAACAAGCGTCCCTATTGTGTGCGAGCATCACGCTATTAAACAGAGGTTCTGCAACCAGCCTGCTCTGTGCAGTCCAGTGCCCCATTAATATTTTACAGATTCCCACTCAGAACGCACTTCAATGTTTCCAAAGGGTATGCAATTCCATGTTTTAAAAATCTAAATTTAGTTTTTAAAAACTCAATTTTTCTACAAGAAGACCTTACAGGTAAAGGTAGGGCTAAAAACAGCATCAAGTAAAATCCTAGATGGAATTTCAACAATAAAGTGGAGACAAATATCTTAACAAAAGTATTAAACACTGCAAAACAAGCTGACAACTCCTACATAAGTGAATATCTGGTCTTGTCCAGGTGACAGTAGAAAGTAGTTTGCTTTTTTTAAGCCAAAAAATGTCTTCGGTCAACAAAAGGAGAATGCATTCAGTAAATAACGGCATGTGAAAGTGTTCTGAATAATTAAAGAAAAAGGGGAAGTTGAGAAAACCATCTCTGAAGCAGTGGCATGAATTAAAGTGCTGTCTTATTCTGCATACAGCACACCCCTTTGCTTTCACACTACGCTTGTTCAGAGGGGAAAAGAAAAAAAAGGACAGGCACAGCAATTATCGAATAATTGTTGCCCAAAACTCTTTTCCCAGACAGATAAAAATCAGCACTTTTGTGAAATGTGTGTGTTTTTTCCCTTCAAAATCTCCCACGCCTTGTACTCAGTCTTCTCCTTTGTGCCAAGTTCTGTCTTTAAAACAGCGCTGACTCTTAACTATTCCCTGAGGAGAGCTACCAAGCATGTTGACAGGGAAAGCATGAAAGAACCCCTCATCCTTTCCACACTAATATTTAAAGTTATTACCCAGTCCGTGTACTGCAGTAGAGCTGTATGTGGTCATTATTAAAAACCTCACTCACACGCTTGTGCTAAAAAAATACAATTAATCTCTGTCCAAACATTAAAAAAATGTTCATTCTTTAGAAAAGCAAATACATAGCAAAAAAACAAGTGACAAAAATACTAGCTATGCAAAGAAAGTTTGAGAGCACCCGTAATATAGACCACTGAAGAACTGTTTATTTAAAATCAAAAGAACAGAGAGTTATTTAATTTCATCCACTAAGCCACGCCCAATTAAATTGATTAAATGAGCCATGTTCATAGGCTGGTGAATAGGCAAAGATTCTTTAAAACAATTTCCATTTACACAGAAGCGGGAGAAGTACATCCGATACTGTACTAATTTGTCTATTAAAGTGCTGATGATCAAACAGGCAATAAGCCCAACAAAACAAGCTAAAACCTAGCTGTTTCATAAATCAGGGACAAATACATGACAGCTATTTTAAGAAAGATGCCCAGGGTCAAATAAGAAAACCATGTAAAAATAACCATGAGACTCAAAATCCCAGTGATATTTAAGATGATCTACATGAAGGCCTTACAAGTAAAGAAAGTGGAATAGTACAGAGGGAAAAAAGGTATCAAGTAAAAATAAATTATAATAAATGTGGAGAAATAAATGTGAAAAAAATGCTGTGAGCCAAGGAACATGTGAAGATGATTAGCACCTTGTGGCATGAATGGATTTTTATGCTGTCTGGAATTCAAAGTTGCAACTAAGCTTGGCAGCGATGGAATCACGACACTCAGGAATCTATTTGAGCAATGTGGAAGAAGGGTAGAAACATGCATACCTCTAGAAACCAGATGATGATCTGGTTCTGCTTAGGAAAACATGATAAAAATAGGAATGTTGCGAGAAGATGAAGTCATGCTGCCAGACAGATGTAAAATTCCCATCAAGATCAGGGTAATTAACCATTAGCACCGTGGCAGGACAGCATGATGGGTATTAGCTTGAGCTTACCTGCCACTAGAGGTCATTCAGGCATCAATCACTTATACTACACCTGTATATGCTGTAGACTCAGAGGTGGTGAATTGGTTAATTGACTAATTGTTGGAGGGTAAGAGGCACATTCTTATATGGTTGTCAACTAGCCTAGGTTTTGTATAAAGGGTTGAGGTAAAGGGAATGGCTGTTGGCAGGTTTGTCTATGTTCTCAGGCCTTGCAAAGCACCTGAGATGTTGCCTTGTTGTACACAGGTACTGTAGCTAAGTGCCTTGAGGGTTGTTGGGAAAAAATAAATAAAAGATAGATAACTATAATAAGATGCTTGTGGGGGCATTTCTTTTCATGAAATTAAGCCTGATCTGATTTTGTTCTAGATTTAACTGCCATTCCCATGAAATGAAAGAAGGTGCTGGAATTAAGGACAGATTGACTTAATATTTAAGGTATGTCAATTTGCAAGAAATACTTTTTGGCTGGATGACAAATTAATGAGATCCCACTGTGCTTTTTCATTATTTAATTTCTTGATGCACATCACTTTCTAAATTGGCACTGTGGAAAAACTGAAAACAGTAAGTCAACCAGTACAAAATTATTTTTAGGATAGCAGCATGGAATAGTATTTAGGACTCCAGAGTAAAGACTGTACTTTACTTGGACGACTTCACAAAACATCTTATAAATGGGTTTCCAGATTGTCACTGAGAATGTATTTGAATTTACCATGTATCTCACCTGATTAAATGAATTTAAAAAGTCAGCTTCACAATACAGGTGAAGTGATGGAACAGCATTTTAATATTTTAGTCCAGCTTTCTGTTCTATTAAGGAAAAAGGTCAACAGGCAGAATGTAATTTAAGAGTACTATAACTCTGAAAGTATTTAGAACAAATGTTTAACTTCGGTTTTGAATGAATAATTTCCTATTTATCTGCTCTATCTGAAAGATGGTTGTAGAGGGAGCTGAAGCCTATCTTGGCAAGCAATGGGTACAAGGTGGCACAGGGCACAGACAGACACATACTAACACCAAGGGCAGATACCAGTTTGTCTTTGGAATGTGGAAGGAAACTGGAGCACTCAGAGGAAACCCACATAAACATAGAGCCCATAAGAATTCCACACAGAAATTGAACCCAGGCCCCAGTGTAGTAAGGAGCGATGCTAACCACTGCCCATCATATCCAAGATGATTTTCAAAACCTTTTATAAATATGACATTTTTGTGTGAGAAGCTCAATAAAACCCAAAGACCAAGCTGCTGTACATGTTTGAAATGGAGTATAAAGGCAAGTCCATAGATGTCTAGTAGCATGCATTAAGGAGAGTCCTAAAAGATTTCTGAGGCTTTGGCAACATGCCATAACTTCATAAGGCTGTGACTGATATGCTAATTCATTCTTCTTGTGTCTTAATGTGTAAGCATGTGATGTTTCCCTCTGTTGTAAGTCCATCTCGTTACAGTGAATATCTAGCGTGATTTCAAAAAGGCTTCACAGTGCTGTAGGAAAAGATTTGAAAAAGGAATATACATATATAATTGGTTCTTTAAAGTGCCTGTTAAGTCCCTTAAGGCCAAAAGGACTTAACAGGCACAGGGATGGAGTAATTCTGTTTTGCAGCAGAATCGCAATTTAGCAGGATGCTAATTTAAAGCAGACCCAATACAAGAGCATGAGGTACTGTATAAAGAAATATATTACAATATAAATTAATGGAGGATTTAAGGAATGTAAAAAATTAACATTAGCACAATGTCTGAAGAGTAAAGCCAGTTAGAGTAGAATGATAACTTTCTTTCACACTACAAGACATTTGACCATTTGTTAGCAGTCAAGAGATGATACTTTCAAGTTCCTTTCCCAACCAAAAATTAATCATTACCTGTACTGGAATAGCAAAGGTGTGCTCATATCCTAATTTGTCAATAACCTCAAAGAGGAAGGACATCTTAAATTTCATAGCACTATTTACTTTAGGTCTAGAAATAAGGAATATGCTGAAAGTGCAAATATTGCCTAGCGATCTTCAGCCAAATCTTAAAATACACACCTTGGGTCAAATTTTCCAATTTTTTTTTAAACAGCTTCCCTCCTGTTACAGTTTCCAAAACTAAACGTTTCCCCAAACTAGAAGCCCCACTCAATCATGCGTTGGACAAGTTACTTTTACTCTAGCTTGAAACTGGATTTAAGTGACCAAGCAATTGGATTCACGAGGTGGTTAACAGGATAGGGATCATGAGACCGAATTCCTGATGCTCACTCTTTTGTTGTACTCTTTTTGCAGTAAGGGAAAGAAAAGGGCAGAGGCAGCTTCCTCCGAAGTAGATTGGTGACACTGCGACATGTTCTGTCAGTTGCACAATTGGTCACTGCGCTGAGAAAAATTCTTTGTGGAAATCGAATAACCCGTTGTCAGAAAGCTACTCATTCCTGGTGAGGGTCTGAGCAACCCAAGCTACAGGGTGCAAGGCAGGACTACACCTCAAATACATACCAAGGCACACGTGCATGCACACTCACGCCCCCTGGTGACGGTTTAGAGAGGCCAATTTAAAAGGTGGGAGGTGACCCAAGAGAATCACTTTTCTGAGAATACTGTATTTCTTATCATTTTCAAAAATGTCTCCAAAAACAAGAGTTCCAGTTCTATAGTCTCTTCATGAATTAATTCACTAGGCCACCTAATATACCCATTCCTAAGATTAATCGATGTTCAGAAATCACAATACAAGTATATATTTTTAACGATATTCATATATTACTCTCAATCAGTGAATAACAGAGTGAGGGTTTTAAACCGTTCTGTGTGGTACTCATGTTGGTTTAATTTGCGTTAATAGTTTGTGAATCCAGTGAAGTGCAGAAGACCTGATTCATCAGATGGGACATGGTCACTCACCTTTACAGGGGTCATTAAAGATCGAACACCAAAGCTCATGCACCCAAGCAACTCGCTCTGCCTTCGGACAGAAACAAAAGACATACAGTATGAGAAGAAAACATATCTTTCTCATGGCAAAAGCACAAGATTTCAGCTCTCATTAGTCTTGTGTGCTCCAAAACTAGGTTTCCAGTAATGGTTCTTCTTCACCGGTTGTGGGAAAACAATGTCTTTACCTAAAAACATATGATTTTCCATTCATAAGGGTCTTCCTCAAATGAATTATACAGATCACTGTTGTGACCCCATCAAAAATGGAAAACAATCAAATCAAAAGCATTAATGATCATATGAAATATAGGAGGGAATAAACAATTGTTGTTTTAAACTGACTTTTGTAATGCAGCTCGTAATTACTGTGCCATCACAAGTGCAATAAAAAGTAACAACTTTAGTTGTAATAAACCTAGTCGTCTGTTCTTGCCCATTTGCAAAATACTATTATTGTTCACCTTTATGCATGTTGTCAAATTTATCACAATCGTATGTAGAGTGCAGGAATACAGCACCTTTTAGTCTCACAAAGTGGCAAATTCCAGTACAAGAAAGCAGATTTTAGCCAATCGTCAAATTGTTTTATTTTTACAGGATGATTCCTATACTATGTATGAACACAGCCAGAATGTAGTGGGTTTTAATTACTGCAAATTCCATTCACACATTCACAATGTACTCGCCCAAGCAGTGATGCATCAGCTGCGAATGTCAACAGCTTTGATTCATTCGGAAGGAGACAGAGAACACATGCCTTTAGATCCAAGAACTTGTATCAAACAACATTTTTTTAAACAATTACGCAAGGAGGTCCTGGATTTGCTAATATGCCTTAAGGTTTGTTTCAACCAAAAAAAATGTTGTACTTGGATTTAAGAACAACAGAGCTTTGGAGCAAACACCAGACCTTTGCATCTAAAATAAGGGAACTAAAACCCCACCCTAGAATGCCTATACTGTAAGAAACAGAGGGAGGCATGTTTTCCCACTCCAAAGTCTATCATAAAGCTCCAGCACAAATTCACAATCAGTTTTTGCAATTTTTTTCCTTTCAGCATCCACTTTATTTCCTGCGTGATTTTAGCTTTCTTTGGCCAGGAAATGTCATTTTTGTGATTATGCTCTCCAAAAGTTTAAAATTCGCAACTTTGCCATGTTCAAATGCCTGTGCAGAAATATATGTGTCATATGAATATGAAGAAAATGCATCAGCCTGTGGTTCTGAGTGTATTTTGCATTCTGCAACGCAATATAAAATGTAACTTAAAAAGTAACATAATGTAACTTATATCCCCCTCTATGAATTGGCTTCGTTACTCTGCTCTCCTCCCCACTGATAGCTGATGTGTGGTGAGCGTTCTGGCGCACTATGGGTGCCGTCACATCATCCAGGTGGATGCTGTACATTGGTGGTGGAGGAGGGGAGTCCCCATTACCTGTAAAGTGCTTTGAGCGGAGTGTCCAGAAAAGCACTATATAAGTGTAAGCAAGTATTATTATTATTATTATTATTATTATTATTATTATTATTATTATTATTAAAAAGAACCACTTGAACAACAGGATATATCCATTTCAACTCTGTGTTTGACTGATGTTTTAGGAATATGTAAAATGCAAGTCTGCTTTTTTAAGAAATAGCTCAACGGTATTGAAAGCCCACAGGATATAACTTTTTTCCCAGACCATGCAAGGTGCAAAACTTTGTCAGTATTGACTGCTTAGATACCTTACACTGTTCACATTGTGCTAATGTGTTAAATGAGTTGGAAAATGTATCAAATGCAGATGGATCCAGGTAGCAATTTCCCAGCATGTTTTGTACGTGCTGAAAAAATAAATGGAAGGCAAGTTGCACTTAAATATTTTATGGAGACAGTAAATACTGACAACATACAACACTTTCCATATTGCAGCACAAACAGATGCAGACTTTACCTGGGGTCTTGGCCATGGCTCCAGACAGTGACCAACAGCCTCTTCTGACTGTCTCCATTTTTTACGGCACTAAAAATAAGGCACATAGATCAAATAAATGACCCATCTACGAAAGGTAATTTCTCAAATATCCTATCATTCAACGGCAGGCTTCCATCAAGACAACTAAATAATGAGAGATGTTGAGCTTTGATTGACCCTTTTCTTAGAACCCAAGATGGATTCTAACCCCAGGATTTCTCAAGTCAAAGGTCGGGGAATGAATGAGCACAAGCTGAACATCTTTCATGTCTTATTAAGTATATCTAGGACCATTACAGACTGGTTTAACAGCAAGAAAAGGCTTCAGGATTAAAAAAAATGGTCTTTCAGCCTTATATATGTGGATTGAAACCATAAAATCGAAAAGAGTAACATGCAAACCTGCCCTGTTTCCATATCATGCTATAATATAGCCACTAATCCAGGAAGACAATGAATTATGGGTCTAACAATGATGTTCATTCTAATTAGTCTATGCACAAGTCCAAGGATCATGAAATCCTGTACAGTCTAATGCAATGATTAAAAGAAAATGACTTTTTCCATCGTATCTTGAAAACCACCATATGGACTTACAGTGATTTTTGCAACACTGGAATGTGATTCTTATTTATAAACACTTCAGGATACCTACTGGTTTCACAGTTGTTCTCAATTTCCTACAGACCTACAAGGGCATTACTTCAGTGGAGTTATTCACAATTCAAAGAGCATATTAAACACAGCTGATGGCAGTGGATGTGAGTGATGTTCAGTTTGCTTTGCAGAGCCTGAATGTTAAGTAGCAAATTCCTGCCTGCTTTAAAGAAGAAAGGAAAGCCAAACTGAGTAAGAAATTAAATAGAGACTCACAAAACAAAGGTCTCGTGAAACACAGGGTTTTTACAGTCTGGGACCGTCTTTGTCTTTTGACGAGTTGCACGATCAGTGTTCGGAACAATTGCCATCTGAAAAGATAAGACACACAACTTTACAGGAAAACCTACTCCACCTATTTTTACTACATCTAGTTACCTACACTTTGAAATTACATACATACTGTATGGTAACATTAGGAGACTACCTCTCTACTCCTCTTTATCCCAGGCCACAATGAGCTCATTCCACTATCTCTGTCCTTGGAAACATGTTGTGCCTCATTCCAAGAGACTGATCTTGGTCAGCTCTTCTTGTATCCTGTATTACTTGGTGACCAGTGCTGGTCCAGCACCACACTCTAATCCCCAGTATGTCAGGTTTGTATCTCTTCATCTCCCTGAGTAAAGGTGAACATGTACTAACGTGACAAGAGATTTGCAGTACAAAAAAAATGTACCTACAAAAGCTGCCTGCCAAAATTCCAGCAACACACTCATATGTCTTTTGTGACATATCCCATGTAAATTATTCATCTGACCATTACACATAAATATAACAATTTAAAGGATGCAACACTAACATCAAATAGTTTTTTGAAACCCACAGATAGGAATGCTTTGTTATTGTATGATGACAATAATAATTATTAACTCCAAAGGAATTCCAGAATGTGCGTGCTGTGAAACAATCCTCTTTATTTGTTGTCAGACATGGTTGGCAAACCTGCTCCTGCCTGTTCTGAGTTTCGTTCCAGCTGAGCTCTTAATCAATTAAGCTAACGGAGCTGCGGTTCATTGTTAATTTCAGCTGTGTACAATAGATGCAATCCAGAGATCACAGGGACACTGTCTTGGGAGTGTTCGATACAGTGTAATTCGGTGTCTAAGGGCTGTTTCAGTAAACTAAGCAGCAATCACTTAAGTAAGTGATTGAGGAGGGAATGAGTGGAGACTTGCTTAGCAAATTTCTTCACAACACCCACTGAAACAGGCCGAAACAGGTCAAAATGTCCAATCATGCAAGAGGTTGAATCAAAGGTATTGGTGAGCCTCAGTAATTTAGAAATCACCTGGAGAAAAAAAAAATCACAAAACATGAGGCCCCCCCAGTACCCAGGTTAAGAAATACTGCTGTAAGTGATGCAGTTCCTACTGAGCAAAGATAATGTTTAATATGGCGCTGGTAGACCAATAGGTGGCACTGTCCTAACCTCATCAGCATGGTGAATATAACTGAAGTCAATTATTGTGGAGGCAATCATCAGATGGGACATTTAAACATTATTGTATCTTTGCCATGACAAGGGGATGTGGATATGGTAAAGGCTTACAAGTCACGCCTCTAATCTTCTAATAAATGTACATACTGTACAATAAAACGGGAGTATATTTTCAGTCAGACTCAGTGTTTATGCTTCTCAACAGTGTCTCAACTACAGGGTATTACTGTCAGATTCTCTATTCTCATGGTGTCAACTATAACACACAATTGTTTCTTTGCTTTTATTTTATATTGCAAATGTCTGTTATAGTACACAGTAAGACAGCATTTCAATCTAAATATCTATGGTCAAATTTAATGCTTCAGTAATAACAGGACAGTCACCACCTTGCCAACAACTAGAGAGAAAGGCTTTGATTTCAGTGACATTATCTAAGGCTAGACCATATCTGCAAAGTGCCGATGAAGGAATCTCGCACGAGCAGAAGTTGAAAAAAGGCCAACTCTTTAGCTTAGCTGGCTGTGAGTTGCCGTAATTTATCACCAGCTGCAGAAATAGTCTGTATAAGATAAAGTGGTGAAAGAAAACAAGCTGTTGTGAGAAGCTGTGAACTCCTTCTGAATGTGCAGGCCATTAGAATGTAAGAACAATATTGTGTGAAACAAAACAAGTGGATGTGTGTTAAATTTCACTGAATCATAAAAAACAAACATGATTTTATCATGCAGGGAGTTAGTCATTTTTGTCAGCCAAACAGTCAAGCAACTGTTTTTGATGTCATTGATTTGAACCACCTAAACTGCATAAATGGAAGAATACATGTTGTGCTCAAGGAGTGTAAAGTAGTCAAATCTGTCACCAGCTCTTTAGGATTAGAGACCTGATACAGAAATGGTGAGGCAAAACACTAGATGATCAGAACACTAGTCATGCTTGTTTTCAAACAGACCTCAAAGTCTTTATCAAAGAACAAAAAGCTCAGAGCTATGTTTTATGGTCCCCTGCACAGTAACAAGATCTAAAGACAATGAACCCTTTTCAGAAGCAACAGCCACGGCTGGTATTTGAAATTCATAGAGGCTTGTGTTTTCAAAGCGTGCCAACCTTTGTTTTGGTGCAGAGTTCAAACATCAACCAAACGATTTTAGGTGTTTAAATAAGGGAAGAATTTGATGTAGGGGTGGCAGTAAACATCTGGACTCACCTGTTCATCACTTATAGGGGGAGGACATTAGTGCTCTTTTAAAGTGCCTTAGGTATAGTAAACCCCTACACTGAAGTTTTATTCAACTGGAGAGTTAAGACAGTTACAGCTGGATCAGTAAAGGAATTCACTTTTTCTTGACTTGTACTGTATATACAACCTTATCAAGGTTATTATTTTATTTGTGCAAAATCCAATGTTACACCAGAGAAACTGTACAGCAGGCATTTTTTGGTGCTATTTATAAGAACATTTACAGTTATGATGCTTGCTACTAATATTGCATTGTATTATCTTGTGAATAACGTACTTATTTCTGTACTCTCAGCCAGAAATGTGGTTTAAAACAGTAGTCAAATAAGAATTACCTTAACATATGAATTGCATGTCCGGTACTCTTTACCCATGAGGCCTTTGGCTTCCATGACTGTAGATAAAAATAAGGTTTCAGTGTCACTATGTCCTCCACACAAGGCTAGAAAGTGCATTTTCTCAAAAGAACTGTATTCACCATGTGTGTATATAATACAGTATATACAGTACAGTATACAGTACCAGAAAAACAGAAATGCAGGCCTAGCTGTACTACAGATTATAAATAGTAAAAATGAATCTAAAGAGCTAAAATACATGAGATTACCTTTTAAAAGATAATTAGAGAACGACTTAAATATTTCACTTTCATCACGTTCAGAGGCCTGGCTAAGGTAGTGTCTCCTCACTGGCGACACCATTTAGACTTAAACCACGGATTGTTTAGGACAATATTTTTACATTAAGCGAAGCTCACTTTAAGCATCTTGTTGAAAAGGAGAGTACATTATTAGTTAGGATACCAACAGGAAAATAATCCTCATTATCAGTACCACAATTGATTTTTTGTGTTTGCATTCATGCATAGACCTATTAAATTAATGAAGTACAGATGTTCACACAGCTTCAGAACCGTGTGGGAAGAAAGTGACAGGAAGCAGTTTGAATGTATCACAAACTTAAAACATTTACAGGTGACAAGTCATTCCTCAACACTATAGACAGATTCTCAGAGAACTTATATTACAGATTTCCCCCTAGCAGCCAGTGAAGGAGTAAGATTCTCAAAACCCCAGAAAATGCAAATAACATATTTTCCTCCACCGATGTACGGAACAATACCTTTAAGAGTCTGATGTTCTGCTCGTGATCTTGCTGAAGCTCAGAAAAAGGGGCATTTTTTATTCAAAGCCAAGTCAAACACAATGAATGTACCTTGCTCATTGGAAATGCCTCTGGACAAGTGTACATGGAGCAGATGTATTAATAGCACACGGCGCAGAGAAAGGTCTCTAGGCCTGATACTTGTCGGCTTGGCTTTGGGTGAATCACTGGGACATTAGAATTACTTGCTGTAGGTTACTTACTATGAATAACAATGAGGCCATCTTCAACGGTGATGGACAGTTTCAGTTGTCCTGCAGATGAAAAACAGGTGTTTAAAAAGAGAAGGAAAGTAAGAGAGGATACCTCCTCATACACTGTTAAGAAATAGTCTAATGAACATTCTGTTGACTTTTTGGGCATGAATAATATGTGCCTAACTTAAGTACTAAGTTTTGACACATCAGTTCCAATTAAAAGTGTGTTACTGTACAGTATGTGTCAGTACTAACGGTTGCTAATTAGTGCATCCTGTGTTACCACATCAGTTTTATTCTTTCAAATACAGCCTCTCAATTAAATAACCATATCTAGACCTTAGTAAAACAAAGTGTTATCTGTACAGCAACTTCAGAGGATTTGTGGAGGGATGATCTCACTTTTATTCCACATCAGTTAAACAATGAAGAGCGGTCATGGGCATAACACCTCACTTCTGCATCTCATTAAAAAGCTACAGTACTGTAGTCCTTCTTCACCTGACACTAATCCCATCTGAGTTGTATCCTCTTATAGATGTGCTACTCCAAATTTAAAGAGGAAGCTCCCTCAAATACACCCTCATGAAAAAGGCAAAGGAAAAGAGCCCAGCAGCTTATCATGTGGAGATGGGAAGAAATCAGAGCCCAGAGGAAAATCAAGAAAAACCTAAAGGGTGCATGGCTAAGAGCCATGAGGAGATAGGAACAGGCCTCCATACTAGTGTCTTAAAAACGTCCGAGACAAAAAGTTCCATTCAGTTTTTGGTCTTTGTTGACCTTTCAGTGGGAGTACATAATACAATTTGAAACATGCTACAATAATATGAAATGATTAGATGGAATGATTAGAGTCAGCATGTGGAGATTTGTAGACGTTGTGGGATTTATCAGGGCAGTGGTCTAGAGACCTTGTTCTAAAAGGCAGATGTACAAAAAGTAGAGAATTTGGCAACACTGGACCCTAAATGTTTTTAGAAGGTTTTACAAGGTTTTCACAGCCACACTTTTGTTAGGAAGCAGGCTGGACATTCCTCTTAGAGGCATAAAATACATGTACAAATCTTGCTCTGAAGTAAAAATATTGCACCTAACATAAGCAGTATAAAACAAACTACTGCCTATAAATTATCTAGAATAATGCAGCCTCATAATTATTAGTTCTTTGCTAGTATGTATAATTTACAGTGCTTATGTATGTGTAAAATGATTCAATATTAATCATTCTTACTATGTTTTATGCATCCAAGGCTGTACTGTAGTCATTCTTATTTTATAGTGAGACAGATGGCCTTCCTTAATTGCATTTATAGCAAACAACTTGGCGACTGCTTCCTACATGGTGAATTTATAGTTATATCTGTTAAGACATCTGAGGAAAAAAAATAGCACAAGGAAACCTTTAGAATATCAATGCAGAAGTGAAAATTTCCAAACCAGGCGTTCAGTATGATGCGAGACTGCAGGTATACTGATCCAGTACCACCAGGAATGAGCTGCAGCTGAAACAGTGCAGAATTCGCCTTTTACTACCTGACAGAGGCCTTCTTTCCTCTGACTAAAGACAACAAACGTACTTTTTGTGGTCATTCACTGTAAAATCAACACACCACACTTTCTAGAACAACCTTTGGATAAACTATTACAAGAGTACTACAATACTCCAGCATGATTTTGTAACTTATGTAACTTTGTCTTCCCATTTTCAATTTGCAACTTTTGAAGTCTTTGAAATCTTTCAGTAGTGTGTAGGATGTAACCAAAACTAACTTAATAAAACCCTTAAATAACTGGTGATATAATAACTACATGAAGTTCTTCTCTAAAGTATATTGTTATTTCTACTGATGTTAGGTTACAGTACAAGAAATTATACATAATGGAGCCTTTTAAAAGCATTTCAAAGCATTAAATATCAAACTAAAATTGTAAACCCTGATTGTAAAATTGTACATCACTACTACAGTGATCGATACAAAAACAACAAATGAGAACATCACATGCAGTATATTCCTGGCAATCCATTCAGTGCAACTGCTAAACAAAGAAATGTTCTTTTCAGCCTCATGCTTATTTAGAGAAACTAAAATGTGTGTCTGGTTTTGTGATGAGTAAGTTGAAAAACTGCTGTAATAATAATTTCTTGGATGATCTGTAAATGTAGTTCATTTGAAAGAGTGTTTCAGTGTCCTTTTTTAAATCTCACCTCCTATTGTCTGAGCTTAATTAGACGCTTTCATCAAGTGTACTGTAAGATTAAATATTTACAGTGTACCCTGGGGACAAAACGTTCATTAACAGAGGCGAGCAATTCATGTAAATGATTTTCAAACAAAGTAGCAAGAAAAATCATCCTAATTCTGGGTAATTACTGTAGATCTCACATGGACATTTCCAACACACAATGAGATCAGACACCCCGATTTATTTTTCTGGCGCTATTAGCTGCCTAGTGCATGCCATTGTACATTGGAGGTTTCACAAATGACAAAAAAAAAACATTCCACCCATCTTGCTCATTTGGATTAATCTTGACATCTTGTCCGGCTGCTTTTTGAAGGACACCCAAGTGTGACAGTGAATTTCTTCAGTCCCTTCTTTCACACCTTTATCTCCTGGTCCATGTTTACCGCAAAGCTTTAGGTTGAAATTAACGTGGACTTTACAAACTCAAATCAAATTCCCTTACAGTTGCCTGGTGACAACTAAAAGGAGTCAGTTCCTTCAGGCTGTCAGCATCTATGATACTTCTTTGAGACCAGAACACTCCTCATCACCCTTCGTTATGATGAGATGATTTTCGAAATGGGATCTTGCTAGACAGTGTATAATTTCAATACAACAGAGCCACAAACACAGACGCACTCACACCAGGGTCAATTTTCCCAGAAGCCACTGAACCTACCAGAATGCCTTTGAACTGTGGGAGGAAAGCTATGCAAACACAGGAAGAACATACAAACTCCACACAGACTGCGCCCGAGGAATTGATCCCAGAGCCCCAGTGCTGCAAGGCAACAATGCCAACCACGGTCCTAAATGAACGTTTCAAATTTTGTAGAAGTTTTGTGTGGCGAGATGACCATTGTACTGTCCGTATATTATACAAGCTAAAATTCTATCAATAGCAAATATATCTTGTCCCGTCAAAATCAACATCATTATTTACAGGTAAGCACAATTGTTTTCATTTCTCCCAAATTCAACCATGCTTCCATACGCTATTATGGAATGTCTATTATGTAATGATTTCCAAATATACACAATTCTCTTTGCAGACATCCCTTGGCACAACAAAACGGACAGAACAGGAACCCTGGTTATTATATTTTAGCCCTATTGGTACATCATTTTGAATTGAGTTATAGATAATGACATTTTTATGCAGTCAATTTATTATATATTAACCTCATTTGAAATCACTAAGATTCGGCTCCATGGAAACTTATCCTTTACCTACCACGCCACGTCAATAAGACTAAGAGAAATGCTCCTTCGACCTGCTCACTTACTCAGCCACTGAGCCGCAGAGCCTGTGAGGAGAGCAAGCTTGGATTGAAGCAGTGGTGCGCCACTCCCAGACACCACTGCCAGTTTGTGCTTGACAAGTTGTAAAAGTTGTACCAGGATCTAAGAACTGGACAACTAATCGCACTCCAATTCCCTGCAGCGCTTAGCCAAATTATCTGGTGTTGTCTGGAAAATTCCCTTCGCAGTGGGGCGAGTGACATGACCGAGGCTCAACCAGGCCTGCAGCGCATGATCCAAGAGATCACCTTTACTGCTTGTGCTGGATTAGAACTATACAAGAGCACAGTCACATTAATATTACTGTTTCAGGTGGGGAGCTGCGTCAGCATGCGTACAGTAGGCTGCAAAGGAACAAGTAATAGGTTTATTCCATGCTGAGAAAAGAAGAAAGAAAACACAACGTTTCAGCCGTGGAGCCTTCTATTAATAGTAGTTATATGAGTCATATACTGTAGTATTGTATAGTATGTAGCATTATTAATATTAGTAATATTACTATTACTCATGTTAATGTTTGAAATAGTGCTACATATTTATATTAGCATTCACATTTAAAGATATTTGTCTATTTTGGTAACAGAGTTTGTATGCTCACTCCCTTTTTCTCCCCTAGATTGCATTTCCAAAAGTGTAATTTGTCTCCCCGTTTCCTCCCTGAGAGACGACGGCAACACTATGTGCCTGAGAACATGACAGGGGTGACATATGAACATTTCTGCACTGAGGAAGGGACAGCAATGTGATTTTCATCAGACTGCTCAGAAATACTGCCAGGCTTCTGAACTGTGACACTGAAGTGTGTTGTTTCATCTGACAGCATGTTAAACAACTGGGGTCTCAATTCCAAGCACAGACTTTCACTGCCAACATTGTGGGCAACAAGGAAATTAGGGAAGAGGTTATTATGGATGATTTTTTCTTGTGTGCAAAGCAGAATAATGCTGCTGTAGGTAATCAGGGTTCCCAACATTCATCTCAGGGAAGTCCCAGCTATTTGCCAGTATCAAGTCTTCAACAGCTAAAGCTGAATTTTACCTTTGCAGGAATCTCAGGACTGAATGCCTGAAGAATAGCAATCCTGCTTAACACCCATGTTAGAGATAGCAGTGACATAAAGCAGAATACGTTCTTATGTTTCTTGTATAATATATTTCTAATTGGCAACCAAATGAAATCTGGGAGCTCAGATTCACCTCAGCGACTCCTCCATCCATGATAATTAAAATGTTGTACGAGCAGCTTTGTTCTGCAAAAACAAAATGATGCAGAAGTAAGCAGAACTGAATTAGTCTTTTGAAGTATTTCGCAGAAGTAATTATTTTGTCATAAACCAACGCACCAAAACAACTACTTCCAAACTTGTTCAAGCTTTTTTGATGAAATTTATGTTTTTAAAACTTGCCTAAAACGCAGAATATATATTTTACTTAAGCCTCCTCACTGCTATGTTCTCCTACAGAGTTCATATGTATTCATACTGCGACAATCTTGACTGGAGACTTCTCCTGTGTCACTCTGTGGTTTAT